ACTTCGTCCATGTAAAACGAGAGTATAACAAGTGGAAAAAGGTGGAAATGTTTATATATGCGGTTGTAAGATTTAGAAGATTTTCCAAAATAATTTTAGTTTTATGTAATTCTTTGGCTATTGTGCGCTGGAAATGAAGCGAGAAACCTCATTTTGTAACCATTCTTGGGTGGCGCGTGCTGAGCGCGATGGTGCTGAGTCCTGTTGGAACGTCCAAGGTCTGCGGCTAAAATGTTTGCGTGTCCAAAGCTTTAATACACCCTCCAGAATATTTTCGCGACAATATTCGGCATATATTCTGATGCCAGGTGGATTAATAGAGAGGAGAGCGACCATCGGCTGTTATGGCGGCCCACACCATCACCATGGCCGGCGCTTGAGTTCTTGTGGCCAACCAAAGGTGCACATTTTCGACTGAACTATTTGGCAATTGAACACGATCATTTTGTTTGTTTACAAACTGCTGAACAACGAATGTTTTCTCATCGGAGAAAACCAAATTCGACAGTTCACCACTTTCGGCCAAGCGATGCAACTCTTTACTCTTTTGAGCCTATTTTCTTCCTGTTGCGGTGTAAATTCTTGCACTTTTTGGAATTTCAATGGCTTTACCCCGAGCTCATTTTTCAATATTTCCCGAATGGAATATTGCGATATGTTCAGCTCACGACCCATTTTTCGGCCACTGCGACGCAGATTTCGATCAAGTCGCTTTTTATATTTCGAACCATTTCTGCTGATGTTGCTGTATTCTTCCTTGACGTCGAGCTACGCTACCAGTATTAAGGTAACGAGCGATTGTACGAGATACAAAAGATTTATTCAGATTTAAATGCTGGAGTGCTCTAACGATAACGATGGAAAATTCTTCCCAAAATGTTTTTGTACGCATGTAAACAATATAATGAGCTGTCTCTGGAATAATTTTAACAGCTGTCGGACGAATGACTTAGAAATGACAGCAGTCTGAAGTTGGTTGCAATTTTTCATCTCACGCTGTATATGTAATGGAATTGGCAAATTTGATATCATTGGGTTTGCGTATAACCTATAAACTGTAAATCCACTATAAGAAAGTCTGTGAAATTAACGTCCTTGTAAGAACAGGTAAAGTAAAGCAGACATTTTGCTGTTTCCGAAAAAAATATTCCATAATTATGTACCTTTTCAGGTTCCAACATGCGGCATATTTTGTAACACTCTCACTGCTAACCTAATTTTAAATTTACAGACACCTACAAACAAAAGTAGGAGTCTTGTACACATATAGGAATATAGCACTATATTATTACATGCTTGTCTATAAACAGCATGTTGTTGTAAATGGGAGCAAGTCAACACACATGAAGGCACGCACACATGCCTATATCTGAACATAATAATATCACAGCAGTTTGTAGGTTAATAGTGATGGTCAGGCAGCAAGCCTTAATATAAAAACTTATGATACACACACTCTTTCCCCCACGCACACACTCAATAAATTTCTACATAATAACCAATGTATAAGAGAAATTCCCTTTGAATTATTCTTGGAAAGTTCTCTGGGAATAATGAATGTTTGTTTTCTTTGGCATAACAAAAATTCGCATACACATACATACGTTTTCCACCTACATAGGTAGGACGTTCTTCCTTGATTAAATCCCTCCTCATTACATGATTTTTGTTTTCTCTTTCTAACTCTTCCTCAGTGCTTCTTATTTCCTTTTTTACACTTTCTTTTGATTTTCTTTAATTCTTTGCTATATTTTTGTAAATTTACACTCACACATTTATATGTTAATTTCCTTCATATTTTTTATGTTTTATAACAATAGATAACAGATTTTATTTTAAGTATTTTTAATATACTTTTTTTAACAATTTTTTTTCATTAATTAAACAATTATTCTTAACAATTTTTGTACTGCAGCTTATAATTCTATAATAAGGAAATGAAAAGACCGTAAAAAGGACATTCGGCAAATGACAGTAGGCTTCACACATGCACAAACATTTATCGATAGCTGAGGTGTTTTGAAATGAGCGGGAGAGAACAGGGAGAGCCAGAAAAGTTATCGATTGAGTTGTGTGCAATTAGCAAAACAGGGTGACCAATAAAAAGTTAAATTTTCTGGTGGGTAATGAAACGGAGCGAAAATCCAATTGGATCATTCTAATTGTACCAAAGTCCCATAAACAGGTCGCGTAAGCACAAAGGAAAATTAATATTATTGTGATTGAAATACGTACATACTTTCAAAATTTTTGTTTACGTTTTCATAAAGTCATTTAAAATAAGCATATCCATCTGTACATTTTCTGTAATCTATCTTGTCAAATTTCACTGCATAGAAAATAGGTTTCCATTTAATTTTTGTATATGCAATGGATTTATAAATGCAAATTTTGACAATGAAATGTTGTCAAAGGAATAATTTCGAAAAATTCGACCATGCTTATGAGGCTAATATTTTAGTTTTCTATTTTAGATTATATTTCTCCTTGACTTTTATACCCTCTAAAGGTAGTGAAAATGACAAAATGTTTGATCGGAAACAAGGGTAAACTTCTTGTTAGTTGTACGCCCTTATTTAAGGAAGAATTCCAATATATGAACTTGACAATGAAGGAACATGATATAAAAAAATGGAATCATATGATTGCTTGAGATTATATTGGTAATTGTACCATGAGCGTTACTTTCCTTATATTTATTGTCGAATCTTAGTCCGCTTAGCTTTTACATAATTGTACTTTTCCAGAACCTGAAAGAATATACTAGTTATTGGGAAAATCGGTTATCGTAGTAAAAACTTTTACATTCTTAAAGTTCTGGAACGGACTAAATATAAGTTCATTAAATTTGCTCCTGGATTTCCCATTATTTAACTCTTTGATATTATGGCCGAATATTAATCAAATCAAAGAAAAATTTAGATATTATAACAATATAGAATAATTAACAATATATGTAATCATACGAAATGGTAATAGAAATATGCGCAAAGAGATTTAAATATCTAATGTACTTTATTTTATCCTTAAAAAGTTAATAAACAGCTATTTTAAATCTAACATCGATTATATGTAAATGGAGTTTCCATGCAACTCTGATTTACAACAATTCATCATGTGTAAGCGACATGGTATGTGTAACTAATATCCATGGTAGAAGATAGTCGCCTCGACACAGCTGCTGGAACAACGAACTGTCAAACCAATTTTGAAATTAAAAATTTTGAATGAAAAATTTGTCATATTTGTAACAATTCTTGAAAATACATATCATAAAAACCTCCGATTGATGTCATATAAGAAGTATTATAAAAATATATTTATTTTTGACTTTATTTATTTATTATTTATTTTTAAAAATGTTGACGTATCAACAATGTTCAGAAGTGTTGATGCATCCACCTGTATTCTTCTACCCTGATCAATATCTACACCTGTGAACAACCCTTATTGTTATTGATTTTTAAGACGTCATCAAGCATTCAAAATAACGGCGACGTATGTTAAGCCTCTGGCTTTGGCCAGTTAATGTTGATGTAAAAGGCACTCGCATCAGCGAAGCCGATGGGATAAACGAAAATTAGAAATCAAAATTATGAAAGGAACATTGTCTATGAATTATTTAAAATTGTAAATAAGATGTTTAAAAATGTTAAAAAACGTAATTATGTTGAAACTCATATATATCATATTTGCAAAGGAATGCCATTATACCAATTCATAACATAATGACCATGAAAGGTTGCTCAACTTGAAAGAAACTAGAAAAATGCAACTCTGTGCTGGAGTCTTATAGTGTCAAATATACTTTTTAATATTCATATGGTTTTGTTTACTTTTAATTTTTTTACAAAATTCTTATATTGGTGAAAACTCGCGAAACAAGAATGGCATTTTGAGGTTATTCTACAAGATTGAATCTACAATAGTGGGACAATACAGTTTTATCCCAAATTCGAAAATATCCATTTATTTTGCAACCGAATTTGAAATAATTTGCAATTATTGTGTTTTTTATTCAAAACAACACACACATACACAAAATGTGTATATGTCTCGACAAAATAAGGGCACTAAAAGAAAACAAGTAATTCAATTCAAATTCATTCATAAATTTGAATTTATTGAGTCTTTGTTTTTTTAACACGAAAAAAATGCTTAAAACTATAATGTCTTGTTTTAATGACTAAAGCGTAATTTTCAGCGTCTGGCTTTATTAAAATTTTTTTAATTAGTGTTTACTAAAACTAAGTGTAAAGAAAACAAGTAAAAAGCAGTAAGTAAGGCCGGGCCGAACTTTGAATACCCTCGACCATTTGGAACGAATTAGATAATTTAATAAAAAATAAAATACATTAAAAATTCTGTTAAATCTTTAAAATACCAATGATCCCTTCCAGTACATACAAGAATCTACTAGTTTTGCAATTTTTTCGATATTATAAAGGGAAAATCAGTTATCGTATTCTTACAGTTCTGGAGCAGACCACAAATATTAGAAGGTGCCGATATATGGGGCGATATACGATATTATGGACCTATATACCAAATCTATGACTAGGGGTAAAGTACTCACAAAGAACTCCTTGTGTAAAATTTCAGACAATTCCGTTGAAAAATGTGGCTAAAATCATCAAAACACAGAATATCGGGGGGTACCGTTATATGGAGACTATACAATATCGTGGACCTATATAGATAATTCTCTTCCAAGGGATAAAGTACTCACAATGAACTAGTCGGGTACCGTTATATGTTTTTTTTTTCAAATCCATATTTTACAATCCTTCTGACACTGGAAGCGAAGAAAACCCCATTTCATTTCATTAATTCTTTTTTCTTTACTTCTATTGCAACCTTTTAAAAAAGCGTAACATAACGAATGAAAAAAACACACGCGATGACGCCGTTATTCCGTCAATTAACACTGCTTTTGACGCCGTTGCTCTGTAAACATTCGACTCAGGCACGATTTTAGTGTATGTGTGACCGTGTGTGTGTATGACTTTAAACTAAAATGGCGACGTCAGTAGAGTGATGGAATTGAGGAATTTTTTCAATTGTGTTGATTCTTTTTTATATTCATATTATATATACATATATTGGTGGATATTTAACCCAATTACAACAATAAAGTGCAGTTTTGAAAACACAAACAAATAATCTAGTGGAAAATGTTAAAGAATTTTCGCAAATGCATCAAATAAAAAGTGAAAATACAAAACAACATCATCGATTCGATGAACGAAAAGAACGTCGCAGTGAAAAAAGTGAAAAAGTTACGAAAAAAATAAAAATGGCGCCTGCGATGATGTCTTGACTTTCTTTTTTTAATTTGTTAATAATTCGCATACGACGTTATTGGAATCATTGAAAAGTTACTAAAATATAAATATTCCTCAAAGGAATATGAAATGAATGTGAAGAAAATCTATTGAAATAAATTATATCAAAGCTGTTAAAACGCAACGCCAAGCAGCAGCAACATACAATACGAAGCATACCACGATAGAGGAGGCACACAAAAAAAAAAAACAAGAAAATTTGTTGCCGTTTCCATTTGCCCACCACAACAGTTTTATTCGTCGTTTTGGGGCATTCATTCATACGTGTTCGTGCGTGTGTTTTTTATTTTTTTTTATTCTTCATTAACTGAATTTTTTGAATTACACGACGAACTCGCCGTAGAAGGAGGCCTTGAGGATGTGTGCTGCTCAAAGTAATCCGACGCAAAGTTTTGGTCCTTACACATGGGGTTTTGCGGCCGACAATACTCGGGCAGATTCCGTATTGGAGATATCGCCCAATATCAACTATACCGTGAGCAGTGAATCTGTAAGTTCCAAATTATTGTAGTTTTCGGGGGAGTTACGTTTATTTCGACGTGTTCGCTTTTCTAGATTGAAGAGAAGAAGCTGGTTCTACATTACAAATCGTTTTCATTTTGATATTCTTCTTGTTTTTGCTTGTGCTTAACACAATACAAAACAAAAATGTAAATACAACACATAAAAATTTTTTTATATGACTGTACTTGTGATAGTCGTGGTAGTTTCGTTAGCCGTGGTCGTCATGTAGTCGTCGTCGTCGTTGATTTTGCCAGTGTGTGTCGTTGTTGTTGGAAGTGGTGCTGTTGTTGCCCGTTTAGAGACACAGAAGAGCAGCAGAAGTTAACAACACACACACACAATACATCGACAACGACGAGTACGAACGGCTGGCTGACAAGCAAACAGACGAACTGGCAGGCAGTCTAGCAAGCAAGTAAGCAAAGCAAACCAGCAACCAAGCAAGCACACAGTCCATATTGTAAGAAAGCGCGCGCGTGATGATGTATGGCTGTGTTCTTGTTATTGGTTTCCTTCCCACCGCTCACACACACACGGTCGACTCAACAAAGTAATGATTATGTAGTATGAAATGTTTTGTTGTGTGTTTTCTTTTGCTTGGCTCTTTCGTTGTGGGATTGTTCAACGGAATGATAGATAAAGGGGGGAATTGGGTGGGAGAGGGTTGTATTGTCATTGTTTGGCATACGGGAGGTTTTATGCTGCTTTTGCTTAGAACTATAGTATGGTGGCATTGCGCGCGCCAGTAGACTGTTGTTTATGCCACCAATATTATGAAGTGTTTCTACCATACATCGATACGTGTTGATGCAATGTATTTCTTTTTTTTAATTTAATTGTTTTGCTTTTTTTGTTTAGTGTTATGTTTTTTTTCTTCAATGTGTGTTATTTGTTGATAAATACAACGGCAAAGCACACACAGTTGCATATAATTTTAACACACATTTTTGCAGAGAATTAGTATGAATTAGTAGCATGAGATTTGTATAGAAAATAGAAGTAAACAAACAACAATATGCTTGTTCTTCTGCATACGCATATGCAGCATGTCTGTCTTTTTGATGTGGGAAAACTGTCAAATAGCAAAACATCACCATCATTTCCTGACCAACTTGTTTTTTTTTTTGTGTTTTTGGATAAAGAAAAAGGCGCGTCTTTCAGTAGGTATTGGATATTTTGAAGATGGCCATCCATGCATGTCAGTAATCAATTAACTAGGAATAGCTATGTGCTGGTTATTCTTCAAAAGCAGAATCGTATCGATAAAAATCTCGGGGAATTGGACAATTTGCAGATGTGACGATTAGACATGTCAATGTTCAATTCAGATTATCTAAAATCTCACTTCATTTTGCACATACCTATGGGGTCCATAGCAACAGGCTTCTCACCGATGAAGGTGTTATCCATTATATGGGTGGTAAGAATCATCCATAGAAACTCAATAGTTCTAGAGAAAAAAGTGAATTCAGGACATCAATGTCCTAATTGCCATACATGTGTGAGATAGTTTTAAAACCTTAAATATTTATATTTGCTAATCTAACGAAATCTAAGCTTTCCCTTAGTTTAACAATAAATTACCTTGCAAAAAATGGCAAATATAGCAATTGCTGATAGGGCCTGGCCACCAGCCTGCATACGTCCCTGCTATATATATGAACCCAACATACCAAAATGGTTTACGAATAATATTACAATCTGCCAGAGATAATCTAAAACATTGACAAATGTTTGTGTAACAAATATAAAATAATCCATGGTAAAATAAGGAGGAAGAACAGCTTCGTAAAACTACATAAGTACAGCCCTAAGGCTATGCCCGCTTTCTGTCGAATTTCCATGCAACAGGTTGTTTTAATTTATTTAATATTTTTCCGCTTTTTTAAAATCAGCGGGAAAAATGAATTAAATGCCTGGATTTTCTTTCAAAAATATGATCTAAACAGTTCTATCTTTCAATTCCGTGGCAAAACTGGCAAATGGCTTTAAAGCGCGTCTCGCAATGTACGCGTCTTCCAATCATTGATTTTGAAAATATTTTGTTTTTATTTTTCAAAACAATAATACATACACAAAATTGGCCGAAGTCGGGCACACTTAAAAAAATTGTAATCAGCTGGTAGCTCTACCTTACCTTTTTTTGTACCATGGAATAATTAAAATTGAACCCTTATTTATAAGCTTATAATTTTAATTGTAGAACAAACTTTCGAAAGTAATATTATCTTAAGCTTATTTTTATAATAGTATAAAATATTTATTTTTTCATTTTTTTAGCAGTTGCCATTGCCTCCTGTGGCCTTGATACCTTGACGCTTCCTTTTTTCTTTATTTGAGCTTCTGCATCTTCCTCACTAATACTACACTTCTATTGCATTCCTGCACCTTTTTTGATTGACTCCAGTCTGAAACGATGTTGAAATAATATATACCACATCATTACCTTAATAATTCGGTCCGGAAATGGGTCCTAAGTTCGCTTAATTATACTTTTTACCAAAGAAAAAAATTGTAGCCGACAATTTTCACAAAAAATATAAAACTAATTTGTAAACAAAGTCATATTTGAGAAAAGTTTGTGCAACATAAGTGTTTCTAAAACATTGTTGAAAAATTGTTATGGCGAATTATTTTTATTATATTATTTTCAAGCTGTATTTTTCATTCAAGCTTGTATTTTTGGTATGTTGGGAAGTTATCGGCCATTTTATTGCTTTAAAATTTTCATAGTGTAGTTAGTTGAAAAAACTCAGAATTGATGTTTTTCTATCGAGTACACTTATTGTCATACAGAAACATGCCCTAAAAGGACGATGTTCATGTAGGTGCCTACTCATTTCATGATCGGAGACTGTTCTTTTCTTCGCATTTTATGTATCTGAGCTTTGGAATATCAATAATTTGTACATCTAAAACCTATTTCGGCTTTTTTCCCCTCAATTATGAATAGAGACTGGATCTTCACAATACGAAAAACCGATTTGTAACAATATTTTTTTTGAGGAAAATCCAAACTGAAAATTTTTTACTATTTTGTTTGGAAATTAGGAAATTGTTTGTAGTTATAGTTAATACCTATCCTCAGATGTACTTAATTGCTAAAATCAGTTTAAAAACCACATACATACAAAATAACTGGGATGCAAACCGGTTTCGGACCGAACCCCTAACTTCGTAAATTTTTCCGAGCCAAACCATTTTACCAACGTATTTTAAATAAGAATGACTTGGTTAGGTTAAACAAGTTGTTTATCCAAAATTATGAATTTGTATCGAAACGTAAACAACGTTTATTATTTTATTTATTTTTTTACTTCCTTATAAAAATCTGTTAAAACCATACCATTTTATATATATTACTATAAATATTTTTAAAATAGCTTGAAAGCTAGCCACAGCGACTATTTTGATTAATTTCGACAAGCAGTTTGTGTGCAAAACTGGATATATATGTACACATAACACTGAACCGAGCCGCATGAAAACCATTTCAAAAACCGAATTATGGTTTAAATGGTAATGTGAACCACTGGACTGAATCAACCAAAATATATGTCTAAGTACCAACATTAATTTTTTTAAGGGGGGAGTGTACAGAGTTGTTCAGATCTCGAGAATCGCTATTTTTATATAAGAACGTGGTCGTTGATGTTAATTTTGTACCTCGTATAATAATAATATGCACATGTAAAGGGTGATTTTATAAAAGCTAAAGGAAAGTTAAAAAAAGAAACCTATAAAATTCAGAGAAATTCATAAAATTGTCGTTTGAATTGGTCGAACGGTTCATAGAATTTAATGTTTCAAAATTAGTTCATGCAAATGTTGACCACGATCGAGCCTTAAATAGTACACTTGCTTAAACATTCTATTTCCGACATTTTGGCCGGCATCACACAAATAAATGCTTCAATGTTGCCGTCCAATGCGACAATTGAAGCAGGCTCGTCTGTGTAGACCATAGCACCGCAAGAAAAAGTCAAAGGGCGAAACGATCTAGACAGCCAATTAATCGTTCCAGAAAGTGAATAGATCTCGCCCCTCAATAAGTCTACTGTATATATTTATTTATTTAACTATTTTTTTATTTACTTATTCATAAACATGTCATTTCTTTGTTTTTACCCTTTATTCCATGCCTTATTTCATTAAATTATTTTTATTTCTTTCCCTAGCGTCTTCTATCTTTCATCAATAATATTATAATGTTATTATAATTATTATTCCCTCCACCCTAGAAAAGTAGGGTTTATATTAAAGTTGTCATTCCGCTTGTAACAACTCCAAAAATTCGTCAAACACGGTCCCAGGAGGTCCACTTAATGATGTCCTATAGTCTGCCTGTCCGTTAAAATCAATATACAGTTTATATTGTTTGAAGTAGATCTTCGAATTGTGTTCATATTGTGTGTAGATTTCACGGAATTGTTTCAAATTTGGTAGTTGAACTTACAATCGATAAAAAAAACCATCTACAATTTTCTACGTAGGTGTCCGTTTTTCTATATCCCTCTAAAGCAGAAATTTGTCTATGATCGGTGCCGCCCATTTAATGGTATTATTCCGAATCCGGATTTTTTATTCATAAAGGTTTCCTTCTTGAGAGGATAAAGAATGCTCGACCGTCGAAACAGAAGGCGTGCATTCAAGTGAAGGAGATAAATCTGCATATTGTATAGTTAGAATATCAGCTACATTGAGAAGTGAAGAAAGTTCAAATAATATATCTGGGTCGTTAATTTTTCAATACCATATGCTTAATATTAGCGGTTAATGTCTTAATATTAGCGGTTAATAAACTCATAATATCTATTTTTTACTGTTTTAGTATTTTTCTAATTTCCGTTTTATTTTTGATCAAAAGCTTCAAATAAATAAACGTTCTCCCTGGCAATTAAAAACATTTCTGTTGAACAACTTGATTTTCAAAAACAGTTTTTTTTTTATAGACTGAAATTAAGCTCAAGCCATTAATTTGCATTTCTATTTCAGATGCCATATTTGTTATCTACAGATGGGTCGTTAACAGTTCAAAAAGATGTAAAAGCCGGCTTGGCGCCCAGTAAAGGTCTTGTACGGCGAATGGTGCTTGTCAATGATCCCTTTTCACCAGGAGGTCAAAGGTGGGCAATAATATATGCCTCTTTATTCTTTAATTTTTCTAATCAATATTTTTTGTTTTATTTTTTCCAGAGTGATAACAAGTGGAAATTCCACAGTGGTCAAGAAACCAGATCAACAAGTTCTCAGTTTAAATTGTGACAAAAATTGTAGGTTTAATTTTACTATATGATTTTTTTAACAATGCGTTAATGAGATTCTTTTTTCGTTTCCTTGCAGATCTTTTGGTGGATCAAACAGATCAGACACATCTCAGCAATGGCATTGTGGATTCGAAAGCACAAACGATATTAACATCTGCGGGTAAAACACACTTTAGCCCTATTGGGCCATTGCATCTAACGGCCGAGGAGTGCAATGAGATTTTAATGAAGCGTGCCTTGGCCGCTTCACATCCTCAGTCGATAACAGCGAATGATGGTCATGCGACCTCAGCAAGTAAGGCTTAAACCTGAAATCGTTTTTCTTTCAATTTTTCTTTTGATTTTATTATTTAATTTTTCTTTATTGTATATTCTTTTTATTTAATTTAATTTATTTTTAGTATTAGTTCTTTTCTATAATTTATTGTATTTTATATCCATGTAATTTTTGTGATCTGATTTGTATTATTTACCTTCTTCGTCTTTTTTGTTTTTATCATTTGAAATTTTAATTTTATTTTTTTATTTTCGTTTCCGTTAACTATTTTAAAAATATTGGCCATGTAATGTTAGGTGACATTATGCCTGGTATTTCAGTGCAAGTACAGAAAGTTATACAAGGTCTGGAAGAAAATGATGAATCACAAGGTGACACACCAAATCTAAAATTGGAACCGGGTACATTGGAACTATCACCGAAAACCGAATTACAAGAAACAATGCATTTTAGTGATGTAAGTTCGCGTCATAATTAAATTCAAATTACACCGAATATTATGTGGGTAGCTTGAATTATGATATTAAGAAAAAAATTATTTAGCCCGCTTAATAACGATATTGTATATTGTATTGTAAACCTCTTTTTCAGAGACAATATGTCCCCAGTATATATAAAATACTGATGATATATTCGTTAGGGTAAAAATGTGGCACTTCGACAACTGGTTAAGACCTCATAAATGTTTGACGAGATCTTTTTATTTAAATTCAATCATGCCTTTTTTTGATCCAATTGTAGTGCGTACTATACGATTCACTACGTGTGTTACATCCTTAAAAAGGTTAAAATTGGAAAATGTTATTTTTGGGGCCAAAATTTTTGTATTCAATATGTAACAAATTTCCATCGAAATAAATTCATTTATGTGCATTATAGTTTGATAATAATAAAAAATTCACATTCTTTATTAAAATATTTCTACCGAAAATCGTAAAGCTTTATTCCACATTCTTTTCGATCGGATTTTTTTCGATATCGAATGCGAGCATTATGATATAGGACATTTAAAAAATCGTACACTTAATTAAAAGTGAAGGGAGTACTCACTTCCCGTTTTCACATATTATTATTTCCAAGAACCTAGATTAAGTTCAAAGAAAAAATATATCGACCCACAACTTCTAAAAACTTCCCATATGTGTCCAACAACCGTCATAGACTAAGAAGCTTTCTTCGTTTTTTTTTTATTTTTGTCTACCGTTCTTCTCAACTTCGCTCTCGTTACTGCTCAATTATGCGGTCTTAATTTAAATTGCAATCTAAACTGTCAACTTACCCACATAATTATGGTGTAATTATTTGATTTTTAATTTTTTATTTTATTTGATTTTACTAAAACCAAATTAACTGATTTTTAAATTTTCCATTGATTTGTATTGTTTTTTCTGTTTCCGATTGTTTTTGTTCCTGTAGAACGATACCACAATAAAGAAGGAGCGCCCTTACAGTTGTGAGGAGTGCGGTAAATCATTTTTACTGAAACATCATTTAACCACTCATGCTAGAGTGCATACAGGTGAGTTATAGAGCACCTCTGAAATCATACTCCCCAAACCCCATTCCTTGTAGTAAAAAATAAAAAAGAAATAAATAATCACCAGAAAAAAATTGCGGAGCAAAGTTTGAATAAAATATACAGGTTTCTTTATTACATGTCTATAATTTTTGATTGCATTTTGTTTTTTTGTTGTTCAGTTGGCAAACAAATAATTAAAAATACGATGTTGTCATTTTCGTTTTGAAAGTCATTTTAAGCCTGAAAGCCTAGGTTTCCATATGCCATCAAATCTTCAAGAGTTCCTATTGATTTGCTAATTCTTCTCTTTAACATTCATTATTCTACAGGCGAACGTCCTCATGTTTGTACACATTGTGGCAAAAGCTTTGCCCACAAACACTGCTTAAACACACATTTACTGTTACACTCCACCGATCGCCCTTACCAGTGTACAGAGTGTAAGAAAAGTTTTACATTGAAACATCATTTGTTAACACATTCACGTGTTCATTCGCGTGATCGGCCGTTTATTTGCCAGGAATGTGGTCGTACATTTCCCCTCAAACGTCACCTGGTGACACACAGTAAATTCCATGCCGGCGAACGGCCGTATGTGTGCGACGAATGTGGCGAAAGTTTTGCCCAGGAAAATCATCTAATTATGCATTCACGGTAAGCGTTTCATTTGACCAATCGATTGGACATGTTAATTTTGTGAAACTTCGTTTTTAATTTTCTTTCCAGTTTCCATGGTTCTGTAAATCCCTTTGTTTGTCAGGATTGCGGTGTTACATTTCCTCGAAAATTTCAATTGGTCAATCATGCTCGCATACATGGCAAAGTACCACATTCATGTACGGTATGTGGCAAGGAATTTTTACAGAAGCGTACTCTGGTGGCACATATGCGGTAAGTTGGGTTTTTACCTAAAATTTGTATTTAAATCATATAGTAGCGGTCAATTCTATTATACTGGCATAATATAATGTTTTTTTTTTTCAAATAGAATAGGAAGACATTATTTCATGGGTTTCCATATGGTAAAAAAATTAAAATATTTATATTATTGCCACAGGAAAGGTCATCTATGCATAGACGATTTTATCTATTTATAGAAGACGTCTTCAGAATATGGTTTCTCAGTATAGAGTAGGCTATTGGATATGACGACTTTTTTTGAAAAGCAAGCTTCATAAGCTTCGAGCATTCACACATGAATGCAAATCACGTCCATCCCAAAAATTTGAAAAATCTATATAAGAAAAATTAAATCAGGGAAATTCATCCTATGTTCAGTCATAATCATTATTATTGGTAATTTATATTAATTAATTCCCATCTGCAATTCTAGCGTTCATACTGGCGATCAACCACATCCTTGTATCAGTTGTGGTGAAGGTTTTATGACACGACCCGATTTAAATCAACACATACGCAGTGTACATGGCGGTGTCAATCCAAATTCTTCAAATACAGCATCAGTGCCGTCCAATAATGCTGTTATAACATCTCAACAACAAACTCAAACTATACAAGTAAGTTTATCAATTGAGTGATACATTATTTCTGGAATAGGTTGTTCTAATTTCGTTTCATTCTGATTCCGTTCACCAGCAAATACACCAAACGCAAGCCCAAACAACACACCAGCAACAGCAGCAGCAAGCGCATCAGGTGCAAAATAGCCACCCACAGACCGTAACCGTGGTTAGTAATCCCAACAACTCAGCATTGCTGACAGTAACCAATGATGCAAATAATAGGCCACAATTTGTTTGCCGGTAAGTTGTGAACAGTTATTTTTTTAGAAATCGGGTGAGAGCTAATTCTGCTTTATTTTGTTCTCAGGGAATGCGGAAGTGCCTTTAACAGTCGCGAAGCTTTAGCCCTTCACCTGCGTTTACATACCGGCGATAAAAGTCTTATGACCGATTTGTGTGCTTTAACCGCTGCCTTGCCAACCCATCTCCTAAGCACAGGCAGTCTTAATCCTGGAACAGCAACCGTGGTATCTGCAAATCCCAATATCATAGCCCAAAACCAAATGCCAGTTCAAATCATATCATCAACGGGTCAAGTTGTTTCACAGACAACACTGGTGCAGGCCGCCGCTACGACTCATCCGCAAAGTTTAGTTGCCACAATGCCATTGCAGGCACATCATCAGCAGCAACAACAGGCAACTCAACATTTACAAAATGGTAATCCCGCAGGCCATCCTCAACAACAGCAGCAGCAGCAACCGCAACAGCAGCAACAACAGCAGCAGCAAACGCAACCAACACCCACCAAACCCAAGTCTCATTTCTGTGCCAGCTGTGGTAAAGGTTTTGCCGCAAAACATGGCTTAATGCAACACAATCGACGCCATCCGAACGGCGGCTGTACCGTACGCACGCATGTCTGCGAATGTGGCAAAGCCTTCTTCCAGAAGAATCATCTAATGCTACATCAACGTCAACATCTGGAAACGAAACCACCCATTACACAGCAACAGGTGTGTTGAACCTCTCACTCCTCACAATCATTCTCTCAAACAAAACAAACAAGCTCTCTAAATATGAGTTTAAATCTTTCCAAATAAATCAATGGTTGTAGTTGTGCAACGTAAGTGTTGAAGATGATTTACCAAATAATTAATTAATATTTTGTTTTTTGAAAGCAAAGAAAATGAGTCGTCCACCATATGATGCTCTCTAAACCTCCCTTCCTATACCTGTTCTCCATATAATGAGAAATTCGAAAACAAAAACAAACAAGAAATTATTAGATTTTTTCTTTTGTAATAATTTTATATATTATTTCTTCTTTTTGTTAATATGTCTGCATACACATACACACACCACAATCTCCCTTCCTTAATTAACATATCCCCCACAACACCCCAACACAATACACAAACAAACAGTTCTCCTCAATTCCCAATTATTTGAGTAGAAAAGATATATTTTCTTGATTAATTTTTTTCTTATTAATATTTATTATTTGTTTCATTTAAGATGCTTTGCAATTTGTTTAACATTGGTGTTGGTTTCTTATTAAGTTCCATGATTATTTTACACATTACACAATCCTACTGATTTTAGTAGTTCATGTTAGATATGGTTCGAGGTCGTGTGAGAAGATTTTAAATATCGAAATTAATAGGAGTGTATTTATAGAATACAATTCTCGGATGATGGTAGAATTGTTTTTTAGCTCCCAAGTTCCGGAATGCATAAAGGACATGGAAATACCTTTTAGAAGAACATCTGCTTCAAAATCTGTTCTCTTTGTGTCTCTTTCGAGACGAGCTTAATTATCTGAAATTTGCAATGAAAAAAAAAAAAAAAACAAATAGACACTATCCCACACCCAACTCACCATTATGCGATGCGTTTCATCGTTGGCTAAGCGTCTCCTCCATTTGTAGAACATCAAAGATTTGAGGTTACACCATTAGGATAAGCGGCAAGAAAAAGATTGAGGTTAATTTTTAATTGTGTCCTTTGTAAATCTTTAGAAATGACTCCGATCGTCTCGATAATATGAGCCAAATTTACATCTTGGTTTTAGTAAATTTTATTACTCCCTCCTTCCTTCTTATATTCGCCTATGCATGTTGGCGGATCAAGCAGAGATAGATTAACTTTCTTCCATTCATCTCTGTTAGGAATCAGGATCTCAAAGTCATCAATGTAGTCACTGTTGCAATCATGAAGGTTACGACCGATGTCAACTTTCAGTTTTATCCCCCTCTTTGCGTACATTCGATGGCGGATTATATCATTCTATCAAGTCGACAAAGAATATTTTTTTTTGGTGGTGGAGGTCATATGAATTTACCCTAATTTGATTCTTTTATGATTTAGTAATTGCCCCTTTTTTACAACACAAAACATACCTGCACACACAACACAACCGCCAACCTCTAAATTAATTTTTATTTATATTATATCATTATTTCTTTTCAAAATCTCTTCTATCTATCTTCTTTAAATTTGTTTTTGGTTAAATTATTGTTATTTTTTCACTACATCTCTTCACATCTCTTTATCCCAACTTCTTTCCCCTCTCTCTTTCTCTCTCATCATACCTATTATGAAATTGTTTTCAAAATTCTCTTTTCATTTTTCATTATGAATTTATTAATTTTTTTTAAAAATGAGACGCAAAGTCTTGTTGACTACAACAATACAAGCAGCTTGATTTTCTTCTTCGACAGGATCCCAACGTCGTACAACAACACGTACAACAACAGCAGCAACAACAACAGCAGCAACAACAACAGCAGCAGCAACAACAGGCACAACAGCAATTGGCCCAACAGCAGCAGCAGCAACAACAACAACAGCAACAAAATTCTCAACAACAACAAATGAATACTAGAGAAGTTATGATTGGTAATCAGGCCGTTCATGTGCAAGTATTACAGGGAACGAATACAGCACAAGTTATCAAATATGAAATCAATATACCCCAAGAAAATCAAAACATGGAATAGCAAGGATAGCTAATGTCATCAAATCCTTCGCAACAAATCCCAAGGAATGAGAATGGAACATAAAGATGTGTTAACACGAAAAAAAAAAAAAAAAAAAAACAAAAAACTATAATACTTCGAATAAGAACGACAGGACAAAAGCAAAACAAGCATTTACCAAAATATCTGGGAAACCGAGTAACTGTTACTTTTTTATGCAAATGATGGTAAGAATTCCCTAGGGAAGGAAGCAGGAAACATTACTTCCCCCACAAAAACACCACTCCCCCAAACAGTTATAAAACGACCCGTTCCTCATTTGTTGTTACCTTTGCCTTACTACGTTGCGAGCTAAGTCATAGCCGAGAAAGAGAGGGGTTTATTGTTTCATATTTTATAATTTAATTTCACATAAAATTAACAAATTTGAATTTGTTTTTTTCGGTTTTTAAATTTCTCTCTTTTTGGAACAAAACATTAAAAATACCAATTAATCTGGCATTCATATTGAATATATGGGCTGAAAAGTCCCGATTGTAACATAGAAACACTAAAATTAATTAATTAAAATCATAGATTATCGGCTCGAATACAAGTTTTTTATGAGTCGTCAAGAAAACATGTGCGTGCTCAGTCTTTCTTATAAACAGCAGATTGTTTACTGTAATATACAGCAATTCCAAGTTTTTTTATTCTTTTTTTCACGACTTGTCTGGGGGAAAAAGCTGTAATAGAAAAGCTATTCTAATACCAAAATGTTGAATTATATTGCTCATATTGCAATCTTTGTGATCTCACCAATTCTTCTACAAAATACACACTTTCCTTAGACTGAAGTCCATCAGTAAATCTTCTATAAATAGAAAGATCTTTATCATATCACCCACGTATTTGTCACAGTGAGTATGTCTTCTATAATTTGAAGAAAAGGTGGACTTCAATAGTTTTTCTAAAAAATGAATATTTTCAGTATGTTTTCTTTAGAAGGTGTTCAACAGGTCTCTTAAAAATAAAAAAAGCCTTTGCCAAGTCTTCTATATATTGGATTGCATAGTTGTCTAAGACAAAAGTTTGTTTATAGACAGAAGGGTTCCCACATTTGGAAATGTCTTCTATAGACATAATTACTCCAGTTAGCACAACATAGACATAATATTTTCCACATATAAGAGCTCTATAAACGCATGGAACCCTTTTTAAATAAGATTTTTACACAGACAGTCGCACTATATATATCTTGATATTTAGCAGCAGACAAATGGAAGATCGTCTACAGCTTAAATGTTTTCAATCGATAATAGACCTTCCTGGTAGTTCAAATTAAGTGAATTCGAAATTCGAAAGCCATCAGTATTTCTGTTACAATTGGGAAATTTGTTTTCACCCATGTTGTGTTACGCAGGCGATTACCTTATCATAGTTTGACCTCGTCGTTGTTGTTGTTTTGTCTAAGTTTTTTTTTGTTATATATACAAATATGTGTATATATATTCATATATAATTACAATATAAATATATTTTTAACATTTATTGACACATACACATACATTTTTTTACAAATATTGCAGTTAAAATTTACAAAAAGAAAAATTACATCGTCGTCCCCCTCTCTAGTTATTAACATTTATTTTTTAAATAATACCCTTTAAAGAAAGAATAAAAATCAATATATTTTTTAATTTATAAATAAGTAGAAGTATGAAAAACAAAAGTACATTACCTAGGTTTAAAACACAATGCAGTTATATAATATTTTTGTTTTAATTTTTCCATTATTATTATTATTATTATTTAGATATTCTCTTTATCAATTTTCTAATTTCATCTTTTTATTTTAATTGTAGTTTGTATATAGTTATTAATTTTATTATTTTTTAAATATTAAAGTAAAAGCAAAGTAAAACAAAAACAATGAAACACTTGAAATATTGGTACAGATTTGTGTAAAAAAATGTTTTTGTTTTTTTATTAATTCTTTAAAATTGCACAGTCCATAAATCCCCCGCCCCAATAAAAAAATAAAATTAAAAACAGCAACAGAAAATATCCTTAAACATAGCTCCCGATATTTATACAAAAAAAAAAAAAAAAAAAAAAAAACAACCAACCACACAAAAATTGTAGCATAAAAGGAATATCAGAAATATATAATGGACGTAATAAAAAGTAAAATCTTTAGCAAAGATTTTTATTTTAAAACAACAGAAACATAGATTCTAGCACCATGTAATACGGAAAATCCCTTTTTAATTACACCTCTGTAGTAAAAAAGTCATTGGATCAGAGAAAACAAAAAGCGTGCACGCCTCTAACACCAAACCACCAACCCCATTTAGCTGTGATGTGTGGAAAATGGAGAATCATTGATAGAATTTTATGGTTTTGCAATTTTTATATCCATATTTAAGGATATTTATCTTGTCATGATCTAAGGAAGTTTATATCTAAGGACAGTTGTTATGCTGCATGAATGATGTGGGGATGTTAGTTGTAGAATTGGCAATGGAGAGAGTGTGGAAAAAACGAAACTATGTTTTAATGAAAAAAAGAATTCTAAAAAGGAAGAACAAGTAAGACCTCAAAAACCGTATTGTAATTCAAAACCATACATCTGTCAACACCTCTTATCTAAAAATCGAGGACATAGTAGAAGAGCTTCTCGATACTCTCGTTTACCCAACCGTTATTTTGGTTCAGCTATTCCTTCATCTGTAATCAAAAGTAAAGATGACACGAACATTCGGAATTAGTCTGCTTTGCAACTATCTATTCTTTTCTGCAATGTTATTATGGAACCAGAGATGTTGTCGTTATCCCTTGTTCCATTCCCAAAAGTGATCTCTTGTATACCCCAAAGTATCTTATCCGTGTTGTTCAAATCATTTTCCTGAGTATTCTAATACTTTTGTGTGCCTATGGCCACCTGATGAGTGCTTTCAATTGTTCCAGGCTAACTCTACTTCTTTTTAATTTTTAAAAAGACCATTCCTGTTTTATTAGTCGTGGTACGTAAGGCTCTTTTGCAAGTGATCCTCTATACCTCCTTATTCCCTTGCAAATTATATTTTTTAAATAAACTCACTTATGCCTTAAAGTATGCTCTTAATTTTGTTATTAAAAAATATATTTTCTCCCAACATTTATATCAAGTTGGCGTTCTTTATTGTATATAGATACCAAGGATATTGGGAATTTTAGACCTCCCAGGGCGAGTCTCCCAAGTCCTCGATTTATTCCGCTTCCATGTATTGCCTTTAATGATAGGTTTTAGTCTTTGCATGGGATATTCATAATCAGAAAATACATAAGCAGCCATTTTTTAAGTTGTCAACACATTTGTGAAAAATTGAACAAGAGACGTTTCATCACCCTTTCCTTGAAATCTTTGTCAATATCTTTACACATCCCCTACACACATAATAGCTCAGGATAGCCCAACAATTTAGATATAAACTTCAAACAGTCGCCGGTTTTAAGTAGTCATCAAAATTATTCATTATCATCATTGATATGTAACTACAAATATTGTTGCCAACATTTTTCTTTTCTTTTTTTTTGCTATATACGAATTGTGTAATTTACTTAGTTGTTAAGAAGCCATTTACCTTCTTATTTTTTAGTTTCATACAGATATTTTTTACCTTACACTCTACCAATAACTACTGCAACAACTACCCACGTATACTTATATTTTAAAATGTTATATTTTATAACTTATAAATAGTATACATACATTTAAATATATATATATCTATATCATAAATTGTAAATTTTAGGTCTAATGTTAATGAAAAGAAAATGAAAGAAAAAAAAAAAACAAACACAAAGAAAAATGATGATTTTTACACCTCTATTGCATTATTTCCAATTAAGTTTTAATTATTCAACCTCTACAAAATTAGTTTTTATGATCACCCTTAAACACACACACAATCACGCAAGACAAAAAAAAAAAAATGAGCAAACATAAAACTACCCATTTTCGAATTCTTCCCCATATTTTTTGAAAAAATTAAAATTTAAATTTAACGAAAAACTAATAAACAAAGAAAAAGAAATATATAAAGAAAAATCTATGCAGTGATGTGTTGGTCGCATCTAAAACTACAACCTCTCTTTTAAGCTATACAAAAAACAAATATACAGATGAAATAAGAGAAAAATTGTGTAAAAGATAAAAACAAAAGAAAAAAACCCAACAGCAAAATATAAGAAAAATATGATTGTAAAAATATTCTAATTTTTTGTTTTCATTTAATTTTTTTATGTGTAGCAAGAGAAGAAAAAAATAATAGAAACAATTTCTGTCACATCAGTTAGCCAAAAGGGAAAGAGGACGATTGCAAAGAGACTTGATTGCGACAAAACTCCCACGTTTGTAAACAAGTTTTTGATCTGAATAAATTGATTTCAAATATTTAACTGATGGTAATCAACATTTGAACAACTTTGAAATCAATTATTCAAATTAGATATTTTATTAAAAAGACCCTGTGAAAATTGAAATGTAAAATCTGCATGACATATTCTTTAACGCGACAAGTTCTCTAATGAATGTTTCATTAAAAAAAAAAACTTAACAGAAAGATAAAATCTTCAAATTTCGATTCAAGCCACAGAGGATGTATCCTTGAGAAAAGGTTTCCAAAGGAGTTTAGCTGCTGGAGCTTTTAGGACCAACCTATTTTTATTGATGTAGACGGTATAAAAGGAAAATTGTAAGAGTTTGTTGTTAGCTACCGGAAGTATTTGGCAGTATTTATTCTGTGGAAATATACCTGCCAGCAACGAAAATGTTAAGTTCTGAACTAATTTTCGAGTTCAGGAAATTAAGATTTAAATCGGTGATGCTTGCCAAATAGCAGGATCTTTCTGTTCTAACGAAGCATTTTTGGTGTAGGACTAGGAATGTTGCCAAAAAGACAAGAAAATTTTTCGAACTGCATTCAGTGAAGATATGCCGTCAACGAAAATTTCAAGGTCATAATAGACTACTGACCTCTCTAGAAAGAAGATTTACACTATGGACTTTTTTGGAGATATAGAATTGAAAAAAAGAAAGACTTGTAGTAAGAGTGGTTTGCTAGGCTACGATATGCTTTTACAAAACGATGTTATGATAGTTATCTACATTTTAGAAGAACGTTAGAGTTTCTATCTCACCTACCAAAAATTTCCTTTGTCTCCTGGTTGATAACATGGAACTTCGGTTTTCTATCTCACCTACCAAACATTTCCTTTGTCTCCTGGTTGATAACATGGTGTAGTAGGTATTCAATCATTTCTAACTCTTCAGTCTGTAATCAGCGATTGCATCTATTCAGATCCGCTTGATAGGCTTCATTATCTAAAGGCTCTCGCTTATACCGTTGGACCTATCTATCTCTCTCTCTCATGTATCCTTCCTGGCACGCCTGGGTGAGGAGTTCCGATACGGCAACGAAAGCATATGATTATGCTGACGTAAGAGATGAACCTCCGTCTCCTCATGTAAATGGTGGGATGAATAGTAGTTTTAAATAATCCTTATTTTACAAAATGGAAGAGAGGACACCGCCAAAACTGGATATATGGAAGGGGTTGTAAAAATTTGTCCAAAACTATAACTATCATCAACTGTAACATAAGGTAAATGACTTTTAAGTGGGATAGCGATGACAAGCTCTCTTACGATAAGGAGGAAACTGAAATGGTCGAACACTTAATCTGCCACTTTCCAACACTATTCGGTGTGAGAAATAGGCATTCTCCAACACAGAATCTGCAGTCATTCTCTATTTAATCAGAAGACTAAAGACAACATGATAAATTCTTTTTGTAGATTACAAATCTATTTTTTTTGTTCAATTTAGAATGGTCCAAAGGACCGGGAGGTCTCCAAGTCTGGCAGATGTTATTTTCTTGTTAGGAGCATTTCTTTGTAATAAAAACTCAAAATACGACATAACATAGAAAATATGACTAAAACAAAATACTTGAAACCGGGGACTATATCAAATGACCAAAATAAAGTAAAATTAAATGTTGCCAAATATATCTCAACATATTGGCGTCTCTTTGTATATGGTCAACAGTATATAAATGCCTCAAGAAGTTTGACCTAAGAACCCGAAACAGTTTTAGGGTTTTGATATAATACAAATCGGATACTATCAAATTCACTTGAAATTTTACACAGAAAAAAAGAAATTTTATGTTACTTTCATTCATTAACTCGAATAAAGATAGTGTTAAAATTAGGTTATTTTTCGTGTTTTTTTGGAAACATTGATGCAATTTTTCTAGGTATGTAATGGAAATCGAGATTTCTTTTATTTGATGAATTTTGATGAAGAATAATTTTGTATTGGATGTTATTCTTTTTAAATGGTACTTTGTAGGTGTATTATACATAAACTCATGACGAAAGGGTTTAACTCGTAAAAAATGAGTAAGGTTTAGTAAAATTTTCAATGCCATAGAGTATTGCTGTGCGAAATTTGTTCCTTCAAGTCGATCAGAGTTCCATAGGTCACGAAAACAACCTGTGCTCTGTTCCATAACTGCAAGAATGTAAAAGTATGTACTATGATAAACGATTATACCTCTGTGATATCCACTACACGAATTCGGTAACTGCTTCACTCGGAGACCTTTGAAACATTGTGTTCATCCGAGCAGAAATGAAAAATCTGGGAATAGAGTAGATATAGGAGCGAGCTGTTAAGTTAGGAGGTTGGTCTACCTAGCAAAGGTATTGCCTTTGGAGGATTTGTAAATGATGATGTAATATATTCGAGAAGAACGTAGCCAAATGGCCTTTGTCTTTAGTTGGATAACATTGAACGTATGCAAAGTAGATGCTCAATCGTCTTTACCTCTTCTTCATCTTCACATAGTCTATTGTAGTCAGAAACACTGTTGCCCAATTTTGAGGTCAGATATCTCTGCAGTGACCAGTCAGTATGTCCACCACGATTCTTAGATCAGACGTACTAACTTATAGAAGGAACCTTGTTCTTGCCCTCGAGATTACCGGCCAGATGACCTTATATACTCAGAAACCGGTTTCCAAATGCCAGCTTCTTCAATATGAAATTTTTTAAGCAGCTAATGTCATAGCTTATTGGTGGTTTAACAGTCTCATCAATCGGTATATAAATCTACTGGGACCCGTATCAGCCACTTCATTTTTAACTGTATTGCTATGAGCCCACGTGTTTCGAGGAGGCTTTTTTGCATGCAAGAGTAACCCTCGATTTAATGTCTCGTAAATCTAAAAGATTTCTGTAGGTTCTGAAACAGAGCACTGCTTTTCAATTTGCTTGTTCCATTGTCGTTATTATTCCCTTCACTATAGTATGGAGGGTATATTAAATTTGTCATTGTGTTTGTAACACCTCGAAATATACATTTTAGACCCCACAAAGTATATATATTCTTGATCAGCATAAAATTCTATGTCGATTTAGCGATGTCCGTCTACCCGTATGTCCGTCTGTGGAAATCACTCTTGCTTCCGAACGAAATGAAGTAGATTGATCAAGCTTTACTCAAATGTAGATTATGTCTGCAAGACTTTCGGCATTGAAAATGGGTGATGTAGGTCCACGTTTTGGTATAGCCCCCATAAAATGGTACCTCATTTTTTCGGTATTTTGGTGATTTAAGCAACATTATTCACCGGAAATGTTTCAAATTTGGTATTTGAAGCTCGTAATGGGTATTACAGCCTATGACAGAAAATTGTCCGCGCAGATTCCCGTCTTCGTATAGCCCCCATATAACAATACCACCATTTTTTCGGTATTTTGATGATTTTAGCGACATTATTCACCGGAATTGTTTCAAATTTGGTATTATAAGTTCGTAACGGATGTTGCAGCCTTTGACAGAAAATTGTCTGTGCATGTCCACGTCTTCGTATAGCCCCCAGATAACGGTACCTCCCGATATTCGGTATTTTGATGATTTTAGCTACATTATATTAACGATTTTTTAAGTTTCGGTATTTTTAAAATTGTAACAGAATTTTAACGGATTTTATTGGTTTTGAGAATTGTCAAATTCGTTCCAAATGGTGGAGGGTATTCAAAGTTCGGCCCGGCCGAATTAGAAGCTTTTTTACTCGTTATTTCTTAAATATTATATAAAAGAATAAAAATTGAAATGTTTTTCGGGAGTTCAAATTTCGCCCCTTTATGTAGATTTTTTAAAATGAGTTTCATTCGTTTTTTCCTTTTCCCAATTTAAAGAAGAAAATTAAAACATATACAAGTCTTTTTAAAAGAACACCCCCATACACACAGGTACTATATAAATAAAATTACACGAAGTTTAATATTAGACAAAAACAAAGAAAAACTTAGTTTTACAGAATCAACATAAACATGTTATACATATTTATATATAAATAGTATATATAAAGGTGAAGATATACATGCATATATATAAAGAATAATAAGTTTTAACTAATATATAAAGAGACACAGTCAGTCATAAAAATTGACAAGAAGAAATAAGAAAACTATAAATTGAAATTAAAAACATCATACACACAAAATCACACATTTAATAATAGAAAAATAGATATCACACGTGAGAAAAAATAAATATATATATTTAAATACTGGAGCTAATAATACTGTGCCTACAGCACACAAAATTCACACTACTACCACAATCCCAAAATCACAATAACTCCACATCGTTATATACATACCATGTAAATTATCACATCAAGAAAAAAGAAAAAAAAAACAGTGGATGTTCTTTCCACTTAAAAAACAAATAATATTAAGAATAAAATAAAATTATATATATTAAAATAAAAAAGGAACAAACCAACGTTGTGTATAAATATTTAGTTAAGCCTACTATATATACATATAAATATAAATAACAAAAGAAACGTTTTAAATATTACGAATAAAAAAATAACCGAATAAAAAATATATTTTAATATAAGCTCAACTGAAAAGTAAGAAAAAAATGAAAAAAATTAATAAAAAATATGAAAAAATGTAGATGAATTTTTTAATTGTAGTTTTTCATTCTTGTAAGTGATAATGTCGCATCTATCAACCAATTTTCGGATTTTTCGAATGGACGTTGTTGTCTAAAAAATCTAAGTAAGAGTTATGAATTCCAGCCCAAAAGATTTGAATTTGCCTTATTCTTGGATTTCCATAAGATTTCTGTCTGTCTACACATTTGGCGCATTGAATGAAAATGATTTTTAGATACCTTCCAGTTGCTAACAGCAAAGTCGTCGACATTGAAGGTGGTGCTGTCAATGACTTCCCATCTTATACTATCGTTATATTATTACGTACAGGGTGAAATAAAAAACTACAAACAATTTCAGACTGCTGTCATTTCTAAGCCACTCGTCCGACAGCTGTTAAAATTATTCCAGTGACAGCCCATTATATTGTGTACAAGCGTACACACCTGTGGAAAACCACAAGTGGCTATTGTTAGACCACTCCAGCATTTCAATGTCAATAAATCTTTAGTGTCTTGTACCATCGCTCGATACCGTGATACTGGTAGCGTAGTTCGACGTCAAGGAAGTGGACGGAAGAAAACAGCAACATCAGCAGAAATAGTCCGAAAAGTAAAGAAGCGACTTGATCGAAATCCGCGTCAAAGTGGCCGAAAAATGGCTCGTGAGCTGAACATATCGCAATAAAAAAATAATATCGCATGAAAAATGAGCTCGGGGTAAGCCATTGAAATTCCAAAAAGTGGTGAACTGCCGAATTTGGTTTTCTCTGATGAGAAAACATTCGTTGTCCAGCAGTTTGTAAACAAACAAAATGATCATGTTCACTTGCCAAAGAGGTCAGCTGAAAATGTGCACCTTCGGTTGGCCACCAGAACTCAAGCGCCGGCCATGGTGATGGTGTGGGCCGTCATGGCATCAGAATAAATGCCGAATATTATCCCAAAAATATTCTGGAGGGTGTATTAAAGCCTTGGGCACGTAAACCATTTGGCCGCAGACCTTGGACATTGCAACAGGACTCAGCGCCATCGCACTCAGCACGCGCCTTCCAAGAATGGTTACAAAATTAGGTTCCTCGCCTCATTTCCAGCGCCCAATGGCCATCAAAATCTCCGAATACCAATCCGTTGTACTATTGTGTTTGGAGTATTTTGGAAAGCAAGGTTGGCACTAAATAATACCAAAGTGTCGATCACCTCAAGCAAGCGCTTTGCCGGGAATGGGCCAAACATTCGGCAGAGCAACATTCAGTCAGCGTGTGATGGTTTCATTGGCCGTTTGAAGGCCATAATTCGTGCCAAAGGTGACCAATTCGAACAAATCAAAACTTATTCTAAAATTTGATGCTATTCCCGACTTTTTTGCTTTCATTTAATGAAATTAAAAAAAATGTAAAAATTATGGCGTTTGAATTTGTTGCACTTCTTTTATCTCACCCGGTATTCGAAGATTATTGTTGGGAATAAAATTGAATACTGACTACCTGGTACAGCTTCCCTAGTTAAATGTTTCGGCGTTTGTGTTACATCCTAGGTTCTTTAGTAGGTTCAGGATGTCCTTGTGAGGTGGGTCTGGGTCTTTGTAAGACATATTGGTCGAGGATATCAGCATTGGCTTACCACTACTACTAACTCCATCCAGCCTTAGGGTGTTGATGTTTTCTTTAATTAAATTAGAAAGATGTATTCGATTTAAGTTTCTCTTCGCAATTTAATTTAAGTTCTTGCCGCTTAGCCTGGAAAACCTATTGTTAAAAGTTAGGACTCCTGGACCAAGGCGATATCGATATTTGGCGTCGTCTGCCGCGCCCATGCAATCTGCACCGGGTTGAGGCCAGACTACTGGTCCAAGACTGCTTGTTTTGTGGGAAACGAAAGTGAAATAGCTTAACAGTATTCTGACTTTGTCCGTGGCTACTTCAATAACCATCCCTTTTATATTACTGAGACCAACTGCAGATGGAATTCACACTAAAGCCACAATTTCTCACAGAATCTCTAAGACAGGCACGACGGCGCATTTTCTGCCTTCCCAAATATTGTGGTAATGACCTTGGCTTCACTGTAGATTGCAGCTCGACCAATCCGCATTGCTCAGCGGAAAATAAAAAATACATGATTACGATAATATGGAATATTAATTCCTAAAGTAAAACAAATTCTTTTATACCCTCCACCATACTATGGTGGGTATATGAACTTTGTCATTCCATTTCATTCCGAAAAAATATCTCCCAGCTTCCTGTCAGAAACTTTTTCTCCCTCGGAATTATTTTCCGAGAGAATTTTTTTTTGATTGTAAAAATGGGAAAGAATGAGAAATTTCTCACGCATTCATAATTCACGATTCGACTGGGTAACAAAAGTTATAAATTTCACACGGAATTGTTACTTATAAGTGTGTAATTTTTATACCCTCCACCATAGTATGGAGGGTATATTAAGTTTGTCATTCCGTTTGTAACACCTCGAAACATACATTTTAGACCTCATAAAGTAGATATGTTTTTGATCAGCATAAAATTCTATGTTGATGAAGTAGGATGATAAAATTTCTGCAGGACTTTTGATATTGAAAATGGGCCATGTAGGTTCACGTTTTGGTATA